GCGCGTCTTGCGGCGATTGGTGGGTTGATATCATCACGATATCAACCAATGAGCAGACCCTTTGGTCGCTTCACCAATATCACCATTATCGGTGATATTGTTCAAAAAATATTCACTTAATATTCTTTATTGTCACTTTCTTTTAAAGTGACACTTCCATGTAACGGGCTGCCCCGTTACAACATCCATACAAGACTAAATAAGTGCAATACGGATAAAGGCTTTGGCAGTATTTGTCGTTTTACTTCTTTTGCGTCTGCTTCGTCCGTGAGACGAGCTGACAGTGTAACTTACTTCAATCGTATCGCTGAATCATGCTATGCAACCTTACCGATACTTGCAAAACAAAAAAAAGCTTCGTCGATGTTTTCGCTGCAACTTGAATTCGAGTTGCTGTCACTTTGTTCACCACGAAAAGGTGAGCTCGCTTTTGCAGGGATTCGTTGATGGAGCATAAAGTTTCCAGAGATCCGTAGCTGTGCTGCTTATATCCCGCTACTCTTGTACGAAAATGGAAACTGTGGCTGAGCTACATTGCGAGATTTTTTCAACTTAGCGGATTGCATCAATCGGCTGCACGATGAGAGGCTATGCATGGAGCGTATGGAAGCGTGCAGGAAACCCTATCTGATGGCACAGACTGACAGAAACAAGGTACTTCGCAAGACTCTGCTTCACCTGCTGTCAAATTAGTTAAAACCTATTCAAATGGTAGCACACAACGATGATGAATGATCAAGTCACTGCGCTTTTCACATCTCTTTTGCTTCTTTCGCACGTGGAAGCAACTTGTCCTACTGTGACGGCTTTATACAGACATCATCGCCATTCACGCTGGTGCCTAATGGTTTGATGTGACGTATGTCAACTGACTGACTTGACCTGGTTCAGATGATTTGCGCTAAACAGGTCATCGAAAAAGATAACAGCGGCTGAGCTGGTCTTTCGAGAACCAGATCGCCACTCGATCCGTATGATCCTTGGTATACTAGAAGCAGTGCTAGTTGGATTGCAGGAGTGGTGATCAAGGCGGCCACCATGCTGCAGGTCGTGAAGAAATGGTGTTTTGCAGTGAAAGAGAAAGCACCTTTGACGCGGACCCCGTGCTACCACTCGACGAAACAGCACACAACGTTTGCGCAATCTCCACGGTCGATGCAACTGCCGCACACGAAAGTACCGGTGTGCCAAAAACAACTGACAATCGACCAACTCGCATTCATGAAGCACCGGCACTGGCGCGCAGGTCACTTGCCGCTCTTCGTCTACATAGGACAAAATCAACCTGGCAGCTTGTGAACATCATTTCACACTGATACCGTTGCACTCTTCGACCAGCCTATCTCCAGCTCAGAAAACTGCCCGCCAGCGTCTCTCTTTACGCAATCTCTCGCTCCTTAAGCTTTTACACTGGTGGATGTGTACCAGGAATCAACTACTGCTGCATCACTTTTGCGGACTCCTCTTTCTTCATCTCCATGAGACTGATGTAGCAATGTAAGCAAACAGCCTCATAGAGATGAAGAAAGAGGAGTCTCGTGCAACTTGCAAGAAAACATGATCAGTAGCTTTGCTATTCATGTCGTACAAAATAGGAACGCGCGCAAAGTCGCTACTCATGTCTTCAGTTGGAGGCATATACTGTTGTCTGCGTGGACTACGTCACACATGGCAAATCTGATTGTGGTATTGCGTTCATGATAGTGTTGGCCCTTGGCTCTTCATCGTGTTCTTATCCTTTTTCCTTCCGATTAACTATCGACACCACTTCACGGTGCGGGTCTTGGCGACAACTGTGGGTTGGTCGCACACACTCGTGCAAGTCCAATGCTTGCTGAACAGTATGGCATCGTGCGCTCTCGACTCGAAGTGTAGCGAGGTAGGCTTTGTATGTCACAAACAATCGAGCTGTCAATGCGAATATCCCCTTGGTAGCTAATATCCACTAACATCCGTACTATTGACATGAGAGGTATATCGAGTAAACGAATGATGACATGCTGTACATGGGCCGATGATACATATTATTATAACAACCTGTTTATATGCCAATCTGGAATGGACACGCAAGAAACGGTGAGCAGATAGTTCTCGGACATGTCTATATTTAGGCACAGTTGACAATAACTTAGGCGATATTTATTTTGGTAAGATCAACTATTCTAAATCAGCTCCCTTTTCCTTTCAGTTGAGCTGGCCTTTTTACTCGAACACCTCCTGCAAATGGTGTACGCACAGCTTCGATCGCACGAGCTTACGCTTTCATCAGCGCAGGTCCCTTGACCTGCAAACAGTACAGGCGCGACGTGCCCCGCTACGAGCACAATCGGGATTTGAATTGAAGTTATTAAAGGATTAAACTTCTTATGCTTGTACCCATATTTGCTCGTGCATTATTTCGTCGACAAACTTGTCTACTGTGTTCAGTGCTGCCACCACCCGCTCTTCCAATCACCCCACTCTTTCGACGAGCGTAGCGTTCGCAATCTTCCCATAATCAGTGTGTCGCACAGAACGAGCTCCAGCCAGCCAGTTTATGTTCACGGACCAGTTTCAGATCAGGATCCCTCAAAACTTTCGTACATAGTGAGGACTGTACGACTTGCCGCGGAGACACGTACAGTAGAATCCCTCTTAGCTATATGATTGGGCATATGAAACTATGAGGTAGTAGAGGATATTAGGTAGGAGGGGCTGGGTAGTATCGGGATCAATCTCTCTTGACCAATGTCGGGCCGGAAACTTTTAATAACTACAAGGGGTTATTAGCTAATAGGGATTAGCGAAGAGGGGCTCTACTTCATTTGTGCACGCGACACTGTAAAGTAAGTTCACACAGCTCACAAGGGTCGAAAAATTCGAAACCAGGCGACAGGGCAGTAATGCTGGCAGCTTCCTCTGCTCGTAACGCCAAAGTTTTGCAGACACGCACCGGAAGTTTAACGAGCTCGCTCGAACGAGCTTGGCAAATAAACAAGAAATAGAGCAGAAGGCGTATTACGACCGAGCGCAGTAATGCTAATTTTGGAGCTGGTGATACGGCCATGTCCGACGCCAAGCATGTCAATCTGCGCCACTGTGATAATAGACAGGATACAGTAGAGGCGAACTTGGTCGCGAAGAAGATCGGATCGTGCCAGACCAACGCAATGACAACGTGGCCAACTCGTGTTGCCTCAGACCATCAGCAAAATGCACCCGAACTTTGACGTCGATTGCCGAGCCATTTCGTTCCGAATAGATCAGAGTTCAGCTGTCGAACAGTTCGGAGAGCAGTAGTCATGGTACTCAATGATGAGTCCGACAAAGAGCTGCACATCGCAGAAGCGCTTGTAAAAAGGCGCCTTCTCAGTCGACAAGCTGAACAGCTCGCTAAGTGCACGCAACCAACGGGCTTCTCGGGTACGAGTTTGCCTGAGAAAAAAGAGAGAACATCATCGGGCACGTGGAACGCCAATGGACCACATGCCAGATATTGTCTCTTTGTCTCAGGTAAACTTTAGAACTCAATCGGGCAAAAGTCTTTCGAGGGGGGTGTAGAGTGTGGCGAGTCGGTTCACGAAGCATACCGAACGTGACTTGCATCGCGCAGACGCTCGGGTAGTAGTCGAAACGCGACACGTTTATGCACATCGGTGTCGTCTGTTGAGAATCCAGATATAAATCAAGTCAAAATTTAGCGAAGAGCCTCGAAAGCTTAGAACAGCACAGAGTGTCGATGAAAGGCCTGAACGCGCTCATTTTAGTATCTACAAGCCCAGCCCCCGCATTTGGTCTCGTGCGGTTCGTTCTAAACCTATTTGAGGCGTTCATAATGAAAGTCGGTTCAGCGCTGGCTGTCTGCACGAATCCACACTAAACGGGGCGCGAGTTCATTGTCGTTGCCACCCGATCGCGCGTGCAACGTCGCACACAACTTCAACGCCGTCTTCACGCCCCGGCCGTGTAACTGATCGCAGCAGCGATTGTATCGGCTGCTTCGTCGCGCGTCTGAAACTCCCGTCGCGTTCAGCTCGCGCGCGCTTTGCGATGACTCCTCTTCAGTTTTGAATTCACCCGCTCCATCCAACGCCGCAGCTCTGCCCCCACCTACTGCAACTGCTACTGCACCTGCTACTGCACCTGCTACTGCACCTGCTACTGCTACTGCTACTGCTACTACTGCTACTACTACTACTGCTGCTGCTGCTGCCCAAAGTATGCCCCGCAAGGCCCTCGTGACGGGCGAAGACGTCAAGTCGGCCTTCAGCCTCTTCTGCTGCGTCTACGGCATTGGCACGCTCGGCATGCCGGGCAACTTCTCCCGCGCCGGTCCGCTCCTCGCGGTCGTCGCGATGGTCTTCATGGCCTTTGCCAACGTGTACGGAGCAGTGGCCATCTGCCGCGTGATGCTCCTCGCCCCAAAGTCCGTCCGCACGTACGGCGACTTGGGCCAGTGGTGCATGGGCGCGCCCGGGCGCTACTTGGCCGTCATCTCGCAGATGGCCAACTGCCTCCTCGTGCCCTGCGTGTTCCTCGTGCTGGGCGGGCAGCTCCTGGACGGCCTCTTCCCGCACGCCTTCAGCACGTCCACGTGGATCGTCTTCATGGCCATCTCGTGCACGCCCGTGTGCCTCGTGCCGACGCTCAAAGAGGGAGCCGCGCTGGCCTTTGCCGGCTGCATGGGCACGATCATCGCCGACGTGCTCGGCGTCGGCATCGTCTTGTACGGCATGCGCGGCCACCCGAGCGTCCCCACGCCCGACCTCACCTTCAAGCAGGTGGCCGGCACGTTCGGCAACTTGGCGCTGGCCTACGGCGCGGGGATCGTCGTGCCGTCGCTCCAGCGCCAGCACAGCGACCCCACGCGCATGCCGTACGTCGTGGGCGTCACGATGCTCGTCATCTCGGCCCTCTTCCTCGTCCTCGCCACGTCGGCGTACTCGGCCGTGGGCTGCCAGATCTCGGGCAACCTCTTGTACGCCATCTACCCGCACGAGACGACGGGCTTGACGACGCTCGGCTTTGCGTCCGACTGGGGCACGGTCGTCCTCGCCTACCTCTTCATGCAGCTCCACATCACCATCGCCTTCTCCGTGATCCTCAACCCCGCGTTCTACATTGCCGAGCGCATTGTACTGGGCATGCACAAGCCTGCGGGCATCACGGACCTCGAGACCAACGGGGACAGCTACGTCGGAGCGCCCAGCCCCGACGAAAGTGAGCACGATAAGCGACACTCGCAGACGTCGGGCGTGTCGAAACCGCACTCGGTCCTTTCGGTCGCTGGCAACGAAGACGGTCCGTCGGATGACGACCTGGAGATCGAGCCGTCCGAGTACAGGGGGGCAAATGCCGTCAAGTACATGGCGCTCCGTCTCTTTATGATCGCGGGCCTCGTGGTCGCGTCAGTTCTGCTGAAGGACCACTTTCACGACTTGACCGACTTCACTGGAGCGTCCTGTATCATGATCAACTCGATCGTTCTGCCCATTGTGTTCCTCATGAAGAAGAAGTGGAACGTCCTGCCCATGTGGGAGAAGGTCCCTGCGCTCGTCGTGATCGTCGTGTGCTTCAGCCTCGGCTGCTACGTGACGTACACGTCGGGCAAAAACCTGTTCGCCCCGAGCCACGACGACAGGGCGTTCCCTTTCTGTGCGCCAGAGTTTGAATACGCCGTGTACTATAATTACACGGCAACACATGCGAGCTAGGCGGGAAGTAGCGCCATTTCGGTCACTAGAATAGTCGACTTCCTCACGGTAGATCGGGGAAGATAGAAACATTACAACTGCCACGTCCGCACCAGCAGAAATACAGCGTCGTAGTGTGTGCGTGAAACAAGTCATCAACGTGCCCGTCGAGTGGACCACATGTACCTTTCTCTGTAGTCCAGAGACACTGATGTCGGGCTGAAATGGTGTGTGCCGAAGCACTGGCACGTGTTCGTGCGCATTCACAATCTAGCGCCATGTGATTGAGCTCCTCACATTTGTCAAGCTATCTGCTTACAGGAACGACAAACTGACGTGGCAACTCATCGCATTGACGTCAGTACCCGGTGCCGTACGTAACACTGGAATAAGACACAGCGTACTGGCTTGTGTGTCTCTCTCGGAACTTGTGGGCTGCTTCGCACTTACACTGGCAGCAGCCATAGGATCAGTGTGCAGTCTGGAGTCAGCGTAGCAGACATAGGCCTGCTACGCTGAGCGGCATCCAACTCGACTGCTTCACATAAGTTCGTATTACGAGGGCTGAAACGATGACGGTAAGCTTGATGGCAATCAGTGCTCCGCGGCTTTTCCAAACATCCTAAAAGCTTTTAAAATGGCGGACGTGCAGCTGCGCCAACTTCAGATTGCACACGAGTATACAATTAGGCACCCGCTTATGCCATTCGCCACGACTTACTGATTCAACCCTACCAGCTACAGTACCGAGAATCGGATTCAGATGGCTGCTGTTGTCCTCTCCGATCCTCGTTGACAGCTGCTTCATGTAGCATGGTGAACTTCCCGCATACTCAATCTCTTGAGTTTTTGAGCAGCATGAGTTTTCCACCGCTATCTCTCGAGCCCTAACTTGTATCAAAGCTTTCAGATAGACCTGTACTCGACACAACGCTACGTGCAAACTCCTTCACGCGTGCATGAACCTGATTTGTGGCACATCGCATGACATCCAATCGCTAGCATGCAGTGGAATAGGTGTGGGTGTGAAGCGAGCGTCCCGTGCAAAGATCACTCAGCATAGATAGACGGAGAAAACAGTCAGCGCAACAAGGCAGTGAGAGGAAATCATGTGGGGATAGATGCAATCGTGAACCCCTCCTGTAAGTATGGTACAGCACAACCCTCAAGCAATAATTATGGAGTAACTGGAGCTCATTGGTCACTTTCGTAGCTTCGAATCCATTTCGAAAGCCAAACACTTTATAGAGTACGGTCTTCCCTCCGATAAGTTATGGGTAAGGTGGACGACCATCACCGTAACTTAGCAGAGGTCTTAACTTATTGATTTTTGTGTATCGTACGTAAGGAGAATAAGTCAATGAGTGATCAATCTGGTGGATCTGGGCACCCAAACCAAACCCCCACTTCCCTTAAGTACAAGCCTACATCCATCTTTGAGGCTTTCACTGCTGTAACAGAACAAAAGTCTCAGGCTCCTGGCTAGTTTGCTACCTTCCCAACTGTATGAGACGCACCCATATCTTCTTTCGTCTGAGCTAACAATTATTACACAGAGAAAGCCACATACATACATTTTTTAAACCGTGTCTTGCCTGTTGGTGTGATATCTGAGCAGTATAAAATGTCGCAGATCCGCCTTACCAATGGACAACGCCTGCAAATATGCAAACACAAGGGTGAGAACCCAGATTTATCTCAAACGGCACCGGCAAAATGGGCTACGGTGATGTTCGGCCTTGTCGACACGCTGTCACAGGCATTGTAACGGGGTTGCACGTCGACTGGTAGTCGACAATAGGTGTGGTACACACAAGGGATGGGATCCCCTTTGAAGTAATATTATAACACAAGTATCACCTGTTGAAGACTGATGTCTGTCAACCATTGATTACGAGATCTTTTAATATGATGTATCTAGGACATAAGTGAGTAGGTTATTTACTTTGTTCTACGGTGTTCTTTTAGGTTATAAGAAGAAATAAAATTCAGCTCCCATTTTGATCAACAAAAGACACGTGCCTCTCTGAGGCTTCTTTCGATCGTAAGGAAGTAGCAACGCCTTGTTAAGGCAGCTACTCCTTGTGCACTCAGTGCGTTTGATTCTTTGAATCTTTTGGTCCCCCTGGAACAGGGACCGTAAGCTCTCTGAGCTTGTTGACTCTTTGAGTTGGTTCTTTGAACGAAACCTTAGCTCTCGAAGCTGTTGACTCTTTGAGTCGGGTTCTGTAGAACCAAATTTGCTCTTTGAGCGTTAAGTCTTCCTCTGACTTAAGGAGCTGTGTAGCTCCGCTACACTTGGTAGCACTCGTAGTCAATCTACGCCTGAGTCGGTAACTAGCTGATCCTCTGTGAGGATGGAGCAATCCTCACCCCTCTATGAGGCTCAAAAGGTCACTTTTGATAAGCTGACCGCGGCCGTAGGCCCAGAGTATGTGGAATTTCTAGCTGCACAAGGTCCCGATGTGCTCAATACACGAGTCGAGACCTTCATGCAGTATGAATCGCCCGTTTTAGGGCAGATTTAAAACATGGTAGCATCGGCTACGCCAACACGCTACGTGGTGATGCCAGACGAAGAGGCTATGCCTCGTCCCCTTCGGGTGGACGTTAAACATTACTCCTGGAAGGAGGGGAAAACCTGACCCTCTGGATCCGTGAGATTGCGATGGCCATGAGCTCTGGCCTTATCTCACTGGAGTACCAGTGGGTCTCGCTAACTATCTCCAAGCTCGATGGAATCGCTAGAAAGAGTGGGCTCTGACGTGTGGCACGTCGGTCAACTTGGCGTTTCCCATATGGAAATCGCTAGAGTTAGACCTTTTACGAGATTTCTCGCCGCCCAATCAGGCTTATCGCGTGCGCTCACGCTTCTTGTCTACTCGTCAGGTTAAGAATGAGTTGACGGACTATGTCCAAGAGCGGGGAACTCTAATGGCTGCTATGCAGTCTGACCCTCTCTCTGAGACAGTCTTTGCGACTGTCTACATGGAAAGTCTTTGCAATGGCGTTGCCAGGTCCGAGGTCTTTCGAGTCCATTCCCTCGACTTTTGAAGAGGCTGTGAGCATCGCTCTGAATGCTGAACATAACTTTAAGTCGGCCAGACTTGGTTGGAATGGGTACAACCCAAACTTTGCGAGGGCAACCTCAGAAAATAGCTCAGCTTTCTGTAAGCCCGAACCGATGGATCTCAGCAATGCTGAGGATGAAGGTGAAGCTGAGCTTCAGGTTGCCGAGCAACGAAAGGAGGTGAGACGTTGTTATACGTGCGGAAGAACTAAATACTTGCGTCCTACTCGTCCTTTGAGCAAGAAGCGCCAGACTCCTATGGGTCGAAACCCCAGCCACAACCAGAAACCTGGTATGGCACGGGGAAACGTCGACACCCAGTAGGTGCGGGGCGCTCTACTGGGGCAGAACTGAGTTCTGTTGCTTCTCTACGAGGTAGAGTGAAATAGGGCTTAGCCCCACCGAGCTATGTGCCCACCAGCACAGAGCGTGGATACAAGCCTGGCTTGTTAGTCGCCGAGGCGAAGATTAACGGCTTTGAGAAGCATTGGTCGATCCTCAATCGACTCCGGAGCATCATGCAATTATGCTCGACGTCTTTCCCTTGAGAGAAGTCAGCGATACGCTGAAGCGCTCAAAGCGCATGAGGGTGATTCAATCACCGTTCGTTTAGCGACTGGTAGTCGCGTCACGGTGCCTAAAGTTCCGTTGAACTTAGGTGTAAAGTTTTTGGATTTTGACAGCAATGAACGCTGTCTTGTCCTCGATCATGGATTCGAGATACGATCTCATCCTGGGTATGGTTTGGCTTGAACGACATGGGCCATGGATTGATTGGAGGTCAAAGACCTTAGGCGCCACGCGAAATGTTTCTAGCGAAGCTTTGGAGAGTCATGAACCCACCTTTGCTAGGCAACAAAAGCGCTGTTGGAGCGAGCCATTGACGGAAGATGTATATGTGCTGGACATTGGTATGTCAGAGTTAATTAACTCCAATGTCAATGACATTAATATTGAGCGGAGTTCGTTCACCGTATGTGAAGGGAGTTATACTCCGTTGAGTGATACTCGTTGTGATACTGAGTCACTGCATGCTGCAGGCATGGTTGGCCTAAGACCGAGTCATTTCAGATGTATTTCCTCTGATTGAGTAGGGTGGCACGTGAAATTCCACCGCGTGAGGGCGGCCGAGATGGCACCTCGCTGAAATGTCGGTAATAACATTGATGGCGAGAAGCCAGAGTGTTCAGGGCTAGGCCTGGATGCTGTACGTGAAGTGGTACGTGTAAATCCACTGGGTGAAGTGTTCAAGTTACGTAACACTTCACCAGATGTCGATCAAGACATGAGATCTCGTATAGAGCGTGCTAAGATGAATAGCAACCACGAGGACCCTACTGTCCCGGCCTCTAGGAGGCGTAAGGTTTCTTTGAGGAAACAATCTCAGCGTAGGGTGGCAACTGTTAAGAGCCCAACGTCTAAAAAGTCACGAAGTGATTATAGTAATAATACACTATATACACTTGTCAATGGGTTGACTGGCCAGATTGATGGAATTATTAGTCTTGAGACTCTTCCATTCTTTGGATACTCTCTTCGACCTAGACGTAATGTCTGACGGCGAATTTAGCCAAGCCTTACAGGCAGGAGAATTATTCGAGCTAGCGGTCATTCGGCCGGATATTGACTTGAACTCATCCTCGTTATTGGACGAGTCTGTCCTTGAGGACACAAAGGCGGCATTGGATACCCGTAGTGGATCTTCGATCCTTAAGGATCCTCTTGATCCGTTCTATCCTTTGGTAAATGAGTTTTAGGACGTGGTGTGTCACGACCCACCGTCCGTCTTACCTCCCGATAGAGGTGTACGTCATGAAATTGACTTGGTTCCTGGAAACAAAATACTGCGTAACACGGCAGTGATCCTTTACCGAAGGAACAGTGTGACGTCATTGACGACTTCTTTCGTGCAAAGCACGCGGCAGGAATGGTACGTGAGAGCAAATCTCCC